AAAAAAAAATAGTTCTAATTTTAATTAGAATTGTGATTAAATTGAGGGCTTTTCCGCTTATGATGAGAGCGTTCACAAGAGTGCAGGAGGATAAAAACAACATTCCATGACCCCTTTAAACATTTCAGTATTATTTGGGGTATTTTCACCTTCATTTTAAAGGTGAACAGGACTGAGAAAGAACTGACACTTACTGAGACACGCTCATTATTAAAACTGAAAGCATCAAATCGACTTACTGTCATAATACTGAATACTGTCGTTCAGTTAATAGCTACTGCCCAAACAATGAGCCCAAGGAGAATATGTTTACTCTGTCTACACCGGTTTACTAGAGTAAAGCAACTTCAATGAGAAGACAGGAGTTAAAATAGAAAAATGTTGAATTCACCTGGTATCGCTTTGTTGCCTCACCTTTCTGTTTGGCCACTTTACGCACCGTCATGGCAGCCTGTCGTTTCTGGTATTCAGAAATCTCAAAACCTAAACAAAACCAGCAACAGAAGATGTGAGGAGGGTCACAGAAAAAGCACTGTACCTTGGTGGCATTGAGGACATACGGAAACCCCTTTAAAGCAGCAATGATAATACAGTTAATGCATGGGAATTTACCGATTTTTTCATCCTCCTGGACCATCCTGCGCTCCTCGTGAAAAGCCCTCAGCCAGCGGATCTTCTCCTCCGGCTTCTTGGCCAGGAAGATGTGGATCTCCTCGCTGTCTCTGTTGTGCAGCTTGAACGCATTTTTCACGCTGACATTAAAGTCGTCGTCCCGTCCATCGATGGCATCTCTCACCGTATAGCGATCCATGTCAATGCGCCCTTTGTAGTAAAGAATGTCCCGGCGGATCAGGTCCTGAGAAGAGATGCAGAGGCTCATTAACGACCACAGCACAATCACACTCGTCTTTGCTTGCGACACGATTGTGTGTAAATGGAATAAATACAGACTAACAGTGACATTTTCAGTTCATACGTATGGGAGCTGTCAAGAGAGTCCAAAAGTTGAGAAATGGGTTTAAAAATCTGGATTTAGAAAATAATTTGATTTATATACAATGTTTGGACACTTTTATTGTCACTAGACTTGCTGGGTTAAAAAAATGTATCAAACTGACACTGTATCTTTTCTTTGAACTCCCCGACAGTAATTGTGTATGATTATATTGTCAGTGTACTGAAAACAAACACAAAGCCAGACTTGTCACAATCTGAATGAACTATGAAACACTTATGAAGACTTATGAAACAGACGACTCTGTCTGTGCCTCACAGTTTCAGTGAAGCTGAGCATTTCTCAACGTTTGGACGCTCTTGACTGCTTTCGGCTCATTTCTCTGATCAATCCCACACTGAAAACACTCGCTGTGCTCTGCTCTCTGCAGATCATCAATCCCACCTCTCCTGCAATTATCTTGATGCACCTGTAAGTGCCACATTACATAATCACTATAGTTTAGAGACCATAAGCTGAGGTAGATTTGTATCCCTAAGAACATTTTAATTACAATGAAATTTATTTAAAGAAAGAGCAATTTGTTCAGTAAACCATTGCTTAATTAAAATTAAAATTAAAATTAAATAAAATTAATTTATGTTTAGTTTTTTCCTCGTGCTGTAGCGAAACCATACCGAAGCGTCATGTTTGTGTACCATTACACTGCATGAACTCAATAAAACCTGCATCTTGTGAGATGGTTCTAACTTTAGGATGCATTTCTAATTTATTGTCAGATTTTGAGATTCAAATCCGGCAATGTAAGGAATGCTTATGCATTTAATATGGTCTAGGGACATTTTTATGATCAGTGCCCACACTTTTATCCTTTAGCTGACCATCTCAACCCCCTTTTTGAGGAAAACTAAATATTTTGTGAAGATCACGTACCTTTTTGCACAGGACCAGCTGATGATCGAAGAGGAAGAAGACTCTCTGCTGACTCCGGCCATATGGCTGATAGATCCACGACATCTCACCCGTGTAGATCAGCTCTGAACTTCTGTGCAGAATATCATCACCCTAACCAGAGCAAAAACACTCGCGAGTCTGGGCACACAAACTGGGACTGGCAGTGCACAACCTATTACAGATATTCTTCAAACGCACCTCCCAGTCCAGCACCGAGGCCTGCCATTGAGCGATCTTGTCAATGTTCTCCAGTCTTCTTTTGCGCTCGTTGATTTGCTGGGTGACGTTCCTCATGACAGCGAGCGCTGCTGCCACATAACGGTAATCACTGCCAGAACAAGCACAAAACACACCCACAGACTATAAATAAATACATACATATATAACACATATATATATAGACACTTCAGACAATCTGTCTCAACTAATATGGCACAAACTTTGATTGCAGTCAGTGATCATTGACAAGATGTAACAACTCGATATATAATAATATTTTTGGTTGCACTTTATTTTAAAGTGTCCTTGTTACAGTGTAATTCTACCTTTCAGTATTGAGTAATATCAATTGACTACATGTACTTACTATAGGATTAGGGTTACTTGCATGTAACTATGCATCATTTATTGTTATTATAAAAGTAAGTACATGTAGCATGTGTAACAAGGACACCTTGAAATAAAGTGTTACCATGTTTTCACTATTAGGACATGAGACTGTAAGTAAATTAACTTTTAAAGGGGTCATATGATGCGATTTCAAGTTGTTCTTTCTCTTTGGAGTGTTGCAAGCTGATTGTGCATAGATAAGATCCCTGAAGTTGCAAAGACTAAAGTCTCAAAACCAAAGAGATATTCTTTATCAAAGTTAAGACTCTGCCACACCCCCCTAAAACGGCTCGTTCTAACATGCCCCCACATATCTACCTCACTATGTGGGAATATTAGCATAATGCGCCCAAATGTGCACACAAAGAAAGAAGGCGTGGTTTCAGTAACCGCAGTTAGTGTTGAAGCAGCATGTCAGGGAGACGCTGTGTGTTTCTAGGCGAAAGCAAAAGCACTTTATTTGTGTGTGTGTGTGTGAGAGTGTGTGCGTGTCTGTGTGTGCGTGTGTGTGAGCGTGTGAGCGTGTGTGTGTGTGTAAGAGTGTGCGTGCGTGTGTGTGTGTGTGTGCATGTGTGCGTGTGTGTGTGTGTGTGTG